ATATGTGTATATTTTATGCACCAACTGCACCAGGTCACATTCCTCGTAGGCGTAAAAACCTACTTGGCAATAAACTAAATTCTGATTCTGATTCTGATTTCAGTTCCATTAATATAATGTAGCTAACCCCCAGCCTTTTTAATTTGTTTATATATATATATATACTTTTATTCAGTTTTTGTCTTATTTGAACTTATATTAAGTGCCAGTTTACTGTATGAAAGTGGTATTTCAGGTGCAGTTTGTAATGCCTAACAATCATTTGTTGTTTGTATGCCTACCTTAGGGTTAGGGTTAGCATTGAGTACTGTTGTGATTGTACAACATATGTGAAAATCAGTACAATTATTTGAATAATAATAATTACAGTAATTTAAGTCAAATAGCCTTCAGAAAAAAAAGAAACAAAGAAGAGTTCACTGTACAGTTGGACAGTTTTATTACTTTTTTTTAGTGTTTATAAGTTTCGTGTAAAACGCAATTTCCTAGAATGCATCTTTACACTGGCGTTGTCTAAATGCGCCGGAAGTAACCCTGTTAGCTGCAGTGCTTTCAACCTTCCGTCAGCTCGCCACAGCGGCAGCTCTGAGCGCCAGAACGACTGCTGCGGACGGAGATACCGGACTTTGGACCACCTAACAATAGCTCTTCTATGCTGTTCGGTAGCATTTAGCTCCACTTAGGTAGACCTTTCAATAACAGGAAGTTAGATAGATAGATAGATCAGTTCGCGCTGCTAGCAGCGTTAGCTAGCTGCCCACCCTCTGTCTGGCGTCACTTCCTAATTTTGAAAATCGCGGCCAGAAAGTAGAGATGGAGTTACAAGGTAACTCGAGTTTTATTTTAAGTCTTTATCTGGTTTTAGTCACTTGTTATAATGTTAATTTGTTATTTAAATGTTTGTCAATCATCTGTGTGCTCTGAGTAACCGCGAGCTCAGCGTTAGCTCTTTAGCCGCCGACGGTGCTGCTTAATTCCCTAGTTTTGTAAAAGGTAAACAATGTTATTGGGTTACATTGTTTCTCATGACTGACAGCCAACTAATACGGGTGTGGATCTGACTGTATGTTACTGTCACTGTGCTGTGATTACATTTACTGAACTTATCCTTGTCCAGACCCGTGTGTGTGTGTGTGTCGGTTGTCCACACATACTCTATCCTGATCCTGGACTCAGCTCTGTAGTCGGGCCCAGACACAGCACTAGAGTCAGAACTTTTACACACAGACTGTCACATGGTGTTACTGTGAAACCAGTCCAGTTTCTGGAACAGGTGTAGACCTGTGTGTAGTTGATATTGCGGTATGATTTTTATATTCCATTACTGGTCATATAATAAATAACACCACCATATGCATACAGTCTAGGGGCGGCTGTGGCGCAGAGCGTCCCCTACATCGGAATTGGAATCGGCCAGATTGCTTCCCCCTGATGCAAGGGCAGCATCGGTGGTGTGACATGTGTATGAAATGAGTTAGTTTCTGTTCGATGGACTTTGCCATCACTGTGTGAATGTGTGTGAAAGGGTCGAATGTGGCCACGTAAGTGTAAAAGCGCTTTGAGTACCATCCATCCAGTCTGAGAAACTTTTCTGTAATCAGAACAATGAGATCTGAATTTGTATTTAACCCTTTAAACAATAGAATGCAATAGAAATGGTCCACTATTGCCTACTTTGGTGTTTTTGCTTATCATGTTTTTTCTTTAAGCATCTTGAAATGATTCATATCCCTAAAATCTGTACAACCTAAATGAACAGGTTATATGACTCAATAAACCATAATGATTTAAATGGACTCACTGACAAAAATGTGACCTGTTTTTTCCATCAGATTTGATTCAATAAAAACAAAAAAACAGTGATTCAACAGACACAGACCAGAAGTTATTTGAACAATGTACTGTTCTTATTTTTATGTTTTAGTCGCTCCTCTTCTTCGCTCTTCCCCACCCGTACCAGCTGATGTGCATCGTGTATTGTCACCATGTTTTGTACATAAAGTAGTGACATCACCAAAGTGCACAATGTGATGATGTTAACGACTGATGCCTTGGCTTTCCCCTGTTTTTTTTTGGGGGGGGGGATTATGAAATTGAGTTGACTTGGAAAACAAATAAATAAGTCTATGCAGGAGCTGTTTTGACTTGCTACAGTTTCCAGTTTATCAAACAAAACAAACAAAGAACTGACTGACAGAGCAGACCAGTCAGTCCTGATGGCGACAGACTTTAACCTGTCTCTGTCTCCCAGTGGGAACTGAACCGATGACCTTGGGCTCTCCCACCTCTCCCAAGCCAGCCTCTGGAGCTCAGTTTCTGCCCGGCTTCCTGATGGGCGACCTGCCAGCTCCAGCTACCCCCCAGCCACGCCCCTTCAGCCTATCTACGCCCATCATGGAGAGCACAGGTACGCACTGAGATCAGCAGGCAGCTTTTTGTTTTTGTTTTTCTCTGTACATTTATTTATTTATTTATTTGTTCTGTGCTGCACTTTAGTAGGAGGGGGAGGTGGAGGAGGCTCCGCCCCGCAGCCTGTTGTCCCCACCCCCAAGGATAAGAGTGGAGCCCCACCTGTTCGCAGTATCCATGATGACCTGGTTACTGTGGTGACGCCCCTCAACACGCACAGGCAGGTTAGTACATGAATTCTGTACTACAAAGCTGGATTTGGGGTTAGTTTTGATCAATAGTGAGATTATTTCATGATTACAGAGCACCCCGCCCATCCCCCCCCCACAGTCTGTGAAAAGCGACAGTGAGAGTAACTTTGGTTACTTGGTTGAGAGGTTGCAGGAGTGCAGCGTCTAACAGCTCACAGCGGCTGCTTCTTCTTGTTTCATCACTCTCTGACTCATATACAGCTGATTCACTGGCCAAAATGGCCATTAACTAACTGACAAACACTTTACACTTCCTATGACTAGCTTACCTAGCTTAAGTCAGCTCGTGTTTTACCAGTTGAATGCTTTTGATGTGAAGCTCCTGCAGTAGGAAATGTTGGGTTTCCATTAGCAGTAACTTCCAGGAATTAAAGGCTACAGCTGCAGGATGTGTGTGCAGCGACGGGACAAAGCCCCCAAAAGTGGAACCAGGACATCTGGATCACCCGTGGTGGCTGGCATTTTAAACCTCAATATTGTAGACCATGGCGTTTGTTTAATTATGGGAAACCAAAAGTGTGATTGCAATAAATATCTGTTTAATTGTGCAGCTCTAACATGTGTTAATAATTATATATTTCTTTTGTACATTGGTGTTTTTTTTTTTTTCACAAAGGCCATGTATAATAAAAACATCAACTAAAGTCACTGTCATGTCAAACTGTTTGGTTGTAAAAGTAAGAAACCCAGTATTTAACGTAACCATACAGTTATTATGATAAAATGTGATCACAGCAAGAAAAGTTGAAGTTTACCTTTGCCTCTCCTTCAGTCTTTTCCAGTCATGCAGTCTCCTCTGTCTGCACGTGGGGCCTCAACTCCAGGAACAGGTACGCATTGTTACTATCACTACTGCTTACCTATTCTACTGCGGATATTCATAGGGATCTGCATTATTACTACATCTCAGTTTGTCAGTGTGTGAATCAATGGTCGTTTATGTTGTACTCACCAACAGGTTGAAATCAGTCATATCCTATATAATCCACCCAGATCAAAAAGGTTTCATAAAGGGAAGGGACTCTTCCTCCAACATGCGCCACCTATTCAGCTGAATTAACACATCCCAAATAAGCCACTTAAACACTATTATCACTTCAGTGGATGCCAAAAAAAGCCTTTGATAAGGTGAATTGGACATATGTCTTCCTCACACTAGAGAAAAATGGTTTTGGAGAGTCGCTTATTCAATGGATCAAAACATTCTGCAATTCGCCTTCTGCATCTTGTGTCACCACTACTAACACCTCTCCCAGCATTTCACACTTTAACAAGACACAAGTCAAGGATGTCCACTCTCTCCATTACTCTTTGCAATCCTCATTGAACCTCTTGCATCATCCATTTGTCAAAACAATGATATCACAGACCTACAAACAAAACACTCCCACCACAAAATCAGCATGCAAATCACATACTTTTATATCTGACAAAACCAACAAGATCCCTTATAGAAATCTCAAATCTTACTAGAATATTCTATAAATTGGTCCAAATCAACTTTTCACTAGTCGCTTTATGGGAAAGACAGCAATGGAAAAATGACCACAAACAGGCAATATCACGTATCTTGGTATCAACGTTTCCACCAACCTGTCGAGTTGTTTCTCCTAAACTTAATTCCATTACTAAAGGACGTTGAGATAACTTACCAATTTCTTTAATAGGAAGAGTAGCAGCAGTAAAAAAGACCATACTACAAAAAATGCAATGATATTTTAGACAACAGTGTTCTTCCAATTGTTTCCAAAGACAGTTTGTGTTTGTCCCTTGCCACGTAATGCTCCTATGCTTAAAGCCAGCTCCATAAAGAAATAGTTTTTCAAGTTTGTTGTGGAAAAACGACTGGCCTGCTGAAAGACCTGACTTCAACCCAATCCAACATCTTTGGGATACACTGGAATGCCAACTGCAAGCCAGATATAGATTAGCTTTCAGGAAAACAAGCCCATATTTAAGGAACAAGACAATTTTAGAACGTTGTCTCATAACTAAATTGATCACAAGACAAGATGCACTAGGATCTGTCTGATTCAGTTCCACAAGTGGCACTGGGGGGGGTCAGTCACACTCTGTGTCGGCTTTACAGTAATTCTTTAGAGCAGCAGTGGGGGATGGCTGTTACCATTGACAGAACCTAGAACCAAAGCACTCCAAGTTATAGGAAATTCAGGTTCTGGGTTTATAAAGATTCCATGGTGGGAAATGCACTCTGTGTGATCACCTGATTACAGCTGATACACTCTGTCAACCGGCCTGTATGAACCTGTCTGTTGCTGTCTCCCTGTGCCTGTCTGCCTTTCTCCAGGTGTGCAACAGGTGTGCCTGTCTCCTGCTCAGGTGGATCCCTTCTATAGTCAGGGAGAGTCTCTGTCATCTGACGATCAGCTGGACCAGACCTGGGTCACTGTGTTTGGGTATTTATACTGCTAAATGTACTACTAACACTGCTGTACTGCTTAATATACGATGAATACATATATTTTAACTGTGTGTGTGTGTGTGTGTGTGTGTGTGTTAGTTTTCCTCCAGCCTCAGCCTCCTACATCCTGCTGCAGTTTGCTCAGTACGGAAACATCCTCAAACACACGGTGAGATATGGACAAAATAAAACAGTCAGTCTTTCCACTGTTACAACTCTGGTTTGGTGGAAATAAATCTTTAATTAACCAACGTAGATGATAAACAGCAGCAGTTACAGTCGCTCTCCTCAGCTGCACACGAGCAGACTGGCTGTGTAAACAAACCACAGAGAGGCTGATATAGCAACACAGACAGAAGGAGTGAGACACCGTGTGACACTATATCTTTATATAGAGAATAGTTGTTTACTGCTGTATTAATGTTTTAAATCATATACATATAATAGGCAAAGACCTCGGATTTTGCATTTACCACCATTCAGAGGAGCTGCTTTCACCCAAAAAGGGCTGGGTGCATGACAAGGGTAAAGTATACAGATGGGCTGCTCTCATGCAGAGTTGAAGTATCTGAATCCATATCCAGGGAGAAAAAGTCAGATCGGCGCATCCCCAGTTTGTATCAGTCTGTAGAGCTTTATGGGCTGTGGAGAGCCCCTGCTGTATCTGATGCTGAAGGAGGGGAGTAAGCATCCTGATCAGTGAACTTTGTTTTATAGTAGAGCCAAAAGCTGCACAGTGAGTCCAGGTTTTAGAGGTGTATTGGTGTGGAATTGATGCATGTGTTGATGATACTGACAGATGGCGTCTCCTGGTAACTGGATGCATCTTCAGTATCAGTCCAGACTGCAGGCCAGGAAAGCTCTGTCTAAAGATGGAAAAGTGTTTGGTGATGCCATCATGGTGGGAGTCAAACCCTGCATAGACAAGGTCAGTATCGGTTTTTACCCACCTACCTGTCTGTCTGCTTGTCTGTCCACTTCTCACTTCTGCCATCTGACGTTGTGACCTGTTTGAAGCCTAGAATAATAATGAGGTTGTTTCTCTCTCCCTCAGAGTGTGATGGATAGCAGTGTAGCCATCTCTTCTCCCCTCTCCAGCTCCTTCTCCTCCTCCGTCCTCCCCTCCACCCCTCGCTCAGCCATCAGACCACTCAGCGCCGCTTACAGGAGCTCTGGCAGTGACTACCAGGTGACCTCAGGATTCACTTTGGGTGAAAATATTTTCTGTACATGTGATTGACTTTTGATTGATATATCTGTGTCTGTCTTTAGGTGGTAGCAGACAGACAGACACCCAGGAAGGACGACAGTTTTGTTTCCAAGGCAATGGAGTACATGTTTGGGTGGTGACATTGCACAATGCATCATGAGATATCTGCAGCCTCGCTGGAGAAAGGAGAAATTGATGAACAGATGGATGAACTGTTTCACTACACTGTGTGTGTGTGTGTGCGT